CCTTTCTTTCCGGCCCTTCAATTCAGAACCAGGTCCCCAACCAAGACTAGCGCATCGTCTCCAGCGTGGACTAGCCAGAAGCCAACTGGGATCTCAATAAAGGGGAGAAAACAGACTGCAGAAGCTGGATCCTCAGCCCCTGAAGCCCAAGCCCATTCCCCACTCTGGGGCGTGCAGCTCGGACTCCAGAGAGGGTATGTGTCTCAGCAGCTATGCTCAGGACAATCAGAAGCAGCCATAGAGGGGGCCTCCTCCCCAGCCAGGAAAAACCTGGTAGAAAAAACTAGGCAGGCCCCGGGGCTGGAGCAGTCTCCCCAGGTGGCTTCACGGTTTTTCTCCTCTGGTGATTAGGATGCCAGGATAGGCCTCGCAAACAGGCCTCGATGAAAAAGCCTCAAGGACACAGGGATGCTTTGGAATATGTTTATTTTTTTAAATCAACCTACAATATACATATTTAAACCAAATGACATGATTCAGAACTACAGACCGGTGACATCCAACATGGCCCTGATTGAGTGGCCAGGGGTGGTACAGCTCCCTCAGCAAGGACATGGTATAAAAAGAAACTCTCCCCCAGGGCAGGCAGCACCTGGGATGCCCTCTGGTACCTAGGGGTACCTGCTCTCAAGCAGCCCGAGGTGTCCACAGTGGCAATTCCTGAGCAACAGGCAAGATGCTGACCCAAAGTAGATGCTAACGGGGTAGGGAGTGAGGACACACCAGCGGACACGATTCCCTCCCAACTCAGACTGTCTCCTGTACTTGCCTGGCGTGTGCTCACACTGCCGCAAAGGGTACCTCTCCAATGTGCAGTCGGGACACACGGACTCATCCATCGGGGAAAAGCTCTGACCAGCCTCAAATTCAGCCTAGGCTGTCCAGTGGCTCCCATTTTTGGGCCAAGGATGCTGGGATAGGAGGCCCCCTTTTCCCGGGGTTGCTAGGTTGTCAGTTAAAGGGTCCAGGAAGTCCATTCCTTTCCACACAACCCCATCGGACAGGCCCTGACCACCTGGAGGTGGAAATGTCAAGTCAAGCACACTTTGCTCAGAGCCACTTAAGGTTTCCCTCAGACCTCTCCCACGGGTGCACTCCCACCTAACAGCAGAGCCTGAGTCCCCGGAAGGTCACCCTTGCCGGACTCCGCATCCGGACTGGGCCTGTCCCCACCACTTTTCACATTTCTTCTCCAGCCCATGTCTGGCCCTGGAAGTCGTCCATTCATACAGCACACACTCACGGGACCCCTACCCAAGCCTGGAAAAGGGAAAGCTCCTGCAGTCGAATTCTCAGCTCAGCACCAAGACTATTGAGGCCTTGGCAGCCTTTAGTCCCAGTCGCTGCTCCCGCCCTGGAGCAAAGAACGCCCCTTGACCCGGAGGCCTGCGACTGGCTCCTGCCAGAGATTCAGTGGCTATGGATAAGGGTGGCTCGGGAAAGACGGAAGCGCCTCCTGCCAGCGCACGTGTCAGCAGTGTGGGCGAAAGAGCAGGCTGCCGCGCTGGGTCCAGGGCCAGCGTGCGTCCCGGGTCGTCGCTCAGCACTCCTGCCAGGCTGCGAGATCGCACGGGTCTCCCGTAAACGGGGTGTCCCCTCCACCCCTCCCAAGCCGACCTTGGCCGTCGGGGCCGCCCCGTCGCTGCTGTCGCCGCCGCCTTGCGCGCCGGGTCTAGTGGTCCTAAACATTTCACAATTGCGCTACAGAACTGTTGAACTGTTAAGAACCACTGGACCAGGCGCGCCTGCACACAGAAGCTCTGCGCGGCCCGGGGCTCCGGGGCCACGGCTCAGCGCCCTCCTGCGACCCGGCCCGCGTGGCCCGGCTGCACTCCGTGCGACGGCGGCCGGCGTCCCTGCGCCTTTTATGCCGCACGGCCGCCCCGCTCGGCGCCGGAACGCGCCAGCCGCGCTGGCCGGACCGGTTTTTCCAGGCCCGCGGGTCGCGCGGCGGGTCGGCCCGAGGCCCCGGGAGCTGCTCCGCGTGCCCGCGCGGGGGTGGCCCTGAGTCACGGCCGCACCCGGCGCCCAGCTCGGCGCACCTGGCCGGGGTCGGCGCGGGGGCCGCGCCCGCTGGAAGCCCGAGCGCCCGGCTTTGCAAAGCTCGCCAAAGGGGCCACGCCGGCGGGGCACGCACCGAGCCCCACGGGCGGCGCGGGGGCGGGATCGGACACGCCCGCACCGCGGACTCGCTTCAAAGAGAACTCCGTGGGAGGGGAAGGAGGGAACAAAGAGAAAGTGAAACTGGGTGGGGGGGCTGTGGCGAGTTTCTGCTTCCCAGACCTGGGCCTCTCGGGCGGTCGGAGGGGGCGGGGCGAGCCCAGTCCTGGGTTCTTGTGCCAGCTACCAGGGACCTTGTCCCCAAGTCCAAAGGGCCTCGTGTGCTCCGCACCTGCAGGCGCCCTACCCTGTTAGTCACTGAGCTCATAAGGGTTCCCTTCCAGGGCAGCCTGCTGTAAGGACAGTGTTCAAGGAAAAGGAAAGCGACTGGAGTCACTCTCAAGTTCTGCGGGAAGGATTCCGAGCGTTCCCGCAGAACTTGAGCCCCTGAGGACCAGCAGAAGGCTGTTACAGTTCATTCAAGTCCAGGCCAGCCGGCCCAAGGAACGCCAATGTCTGCCATGCTGGCCGCCACAGACTGGGCCGAGGCAGGAAGAAGCCACTGTGCTCTAAGGAAACCTCTAGCCTTTTCACCGATGGCGCCGTCAAGTTTAACTGCATTTGGCTTGCAGAGTGAACTAGTGAAGGTTTTTGTGTTTTGTTTTTACAGTTGGGTCTGCGGCCTCAGAGAGAAGCCGTGCCTTCTCGGAGATTCCCCAGCCCTTTCTGCGTGTAAGTCTGAATGTGGAGTCAGAGGGGCTGGCATGGAGGACTAGGGAATATCCTCAAAGAGGCACACACTACTTAGACTGGAAGTCATCTCCTGTCTCAGTGAGAAACCCTGAACAGCAAGACAGGAAAACAAAACAAAACAAAACCAACCAACCAACAAAACCCCAGCAAACGTGGGCACTGTGCCTAAGAGAGGACTTTTGGGTGCCCTGATGGCTCTCTTGCAACAGGAAATACAACCAGAAGGGTAACTTTGCAAGACATCACTTGTGGGTGGGGGTGGCCTGGAGGGTCTGATTATAGAATTGAAAACTCTGGGAAAACATGGAGGGTGTGACGAAAGGGAGATGTTCCCGAGAGATAGCCCTGGCAGCTTGCTCGGAGGAGCTGGAGCCTCCCTAGAGGGAAATTACCAGTGTGCAAAACAGCAGTGAGCCTTGCCTGCTGGGGGGCAGGGCTCAGCCCTCCTCCCCCTGTGAGGAGGGCCATAGGGTTCCCCAGCTTATCCAAACAGGAGTCTGGTCTGAGGGCCGCCTGAATCACCTTAGCTCTGCATGTGCCAACAGGGGTCCCCAGTGTTCCTGCAGCAGCCAGTAGATGGAAGGACGCCCCAGTGCCCTTCTTAGGAGCCTGAAATGAACAAGTGTCACATCATGGATCATGCTATCTTACTTGTCTAAGCCACTTAACTGTGACTCTCAGAGGGACTTACTAACGTGGCACCTGCCTTCCTCCCAAGCTTTCTGGACAGTGCCTTTGAGGCCAGTCCAGCATCTGTCTGGTGTAAGGTTGCATCCTATCATCCTTGAGGAGCCTGAGAACCGGCCTGGCTGCCAACCCTTGTAGGAGTTCCTCTTACCTGCCCAACTGCTGACGCCCCCATATCTGCAGAGCCTGTATGGCTATCTGGGGAAACAGGGTTAGGCTTCCAAAACTGGCAGGCGGGGGAGTGGGGGTGTTTCAGCAGAACGAGGAAGGGAGTCACCTTGGCTTGCACAATCTACTGAGTTCGGTACATCCCAAGCAATGGCTCTGCCAGTCTCTTGGGGGAGAGTGGGCCCTGGGGTATGCAGACACCAGGCTGAGGTTACCCTCCACACTGTCCTCAGGCATATATATGTCCGACAGTCTCACCACCCTGCCCTGGAACCTAGAAGTCTCAGGCTACAAGTAAAATCAAGACCTGTGGACCCTTGTGCCCTGTGGTGCTTCTCCACCCACTCATCAGGGATTCGCTGAGGTGTGGGGCAAAGGCTTCTGGGCCCTGCTGTCCTCAGGTGGTGTTACCAGGTTGTGCAAGGTATGAGCACACCCGTCTGGGTGAGGAGCTGGGAAGCGGCCAGGGCAGCGTTTGCAGGAGCCTGGGAACCAGGCTGAGGAGCCTGAGGTGTGGGGACGGGAGCCTCAGCCTGGCTCACCCAAATGGCAAGGGTCAGCTCTTAGGGTCGCATTTGTCCACCATCCTCAGGGTGTAAATTCTCATGGGGCCTGGGTGCTTTCAAGCCCTGTCGAGGGGCCCAAAGGACAGATGAGTATCCCCATGTAGGCCCAGGGAAGAGGGCGGCTCCTTGCTCCTAGCAAAAAAGGGCAAAGGCTGTATGTGGCAGAGTAGGTGACAGCGTCTCACACCTGAGGGACTGAAGTCTGGAGAGGGTCAGGCCCTTGTTAGATGTTTGGACTGAGGGCTGAGCAGATGCCTGCTTCCTAAAATCCCAGGATGCCCCAGTCAATGCCTGCAGCTGCTCACCTGCGTCAGGATGCCCACTTGCTCACCCTGACAGGATCCTTAACTTCCCAGCAAGCAGCCCAGGCCACAGAGGGTAGCAGGTTGAGAGCTGGAAGATACGGTATTCCCGCCCCCGCCCCCACACCTGAGGACTATTTGCCAGAACACCGGGATTTCCTGCCACTCCTCTTCAGCCCCTGGCTGCCTCAAAAAGGTGACTGAGCCCCAGAAGAATCAGGATGGGGCCAGAAGCTGCCAGAGGGGATGGAGGTGGGGCAGGGCAGCTTGCTCAGGCCCTCCCCATGTCACCCTATCCTGACATGCCAGGCCAGCGTCAGGATGATTGCTTCAGTGGACTGCTGTCTGCTGTAGAGGTGGCTCTCTGCCCCACAGCCTGAGGCCTATTCCCCATATGCGTATACAGTCACAGCCCGCAGACCCATCCAGGCCAAGGAGCAGCTGTCCCAGCAACTTTATTGACGATCTGCTCAACAAAGACCTCCAGATTGTCACGCCAACAGGCTGGGAACCGATTCATCAGAAGATATCCCAACTTAGGGAGGATGAGTCCGATGCTCTGAGTCAGCTCCTGGGACACGGGGCTGGAGGAGATAACAAGGCTGGAATAGAGCTGGTTTCTGAAACTCTTCACCCGCTACAATGATGCTAACATAGTAGCCAGTCAGCTGGTATGTGTCTGAGGTCCCTGGGGCAGTAAGGAACAGCTCTGACTGTAGCAGGTCGGGGCCAAGGAGCATTTCCTGGGAACAAGGTCTGCTGAGGACATTCAGGGGACACAGCCAGAGGTAGGGCTTCCCCTTCTCCACTCCAGGTGCCCTGTGTTTGGAGTCCAGGCAGTCCCAGGAGTTTGGGAATAGCCCACCCAGTCTCAAAACTCCAGAGCAATGGGGATGGTTGTCAGCTGGGAGCAGGCCTGGGTCTTTCCAGTCACTCAGTTCAAGACTGGGTAGGGTGAAGGTCTGAGATGGGCTTCTCCTACATGAAGCCCCAGCAGCCTCTATCTCCAGAAGACCGTGCGTACTCTAGGGGTCCCCGAGAAGGGCTCTGGATGACCTGTCTCCCATAGTCAGTTCCTCCAGCTGCCTCCAGAATTGGCTCTGGGATACCAGGTGCCAGGATCCAGTTGCAAACCAATGAGAGTTCACTGAGGAGGTATCAACCCAGCCTAAGACCTAGTGGGTCTGGAGCTGGGCACTGACCCTGTCCTTAAAGCTCTGTAGCAGGGCCACCACATCTGCATTCCCAGCTGCTTCAGCCTGCAGGGGAGAGACACCTGTGGGGACTCCTGGGCTGCAGCACCCAAAAGCCCCAAAGCCCCAATGATCAGTATGGATGCCCCACCCTCACCCTGGGGACTGGTTGGGCACAGGAGTTGGGTGATCCTAAGGAAAGTTATTTCTCTAGGAGGATGGGCAGCTTCTGGTCCGGGATTTGGGAGGGTAGTTGAGGAGCTCCAGGAGGCCTGGAGAAGAGGGTACAGGAGGCAGCACTCACTACTTCCAGGGCACTGTGCCCATCATAGTCCAGCTGATCCAGGTCAGCCCCAGCCTGCCACCACGCCCTCAGGCCTTCACTGTCTGCCCTTGATGCCAGCCTGGGAGTTGGAGGAGGGGGCGTGGAGAGAAGCTATCAGAACCTGCTGGGTCCCTCACCTGCCTACCTTCTGTATGTGTCTCTCCCAGTACCCTACGTACTCTTACAAAGACAGCCCTAAACAGCTGACCCAGCAGCACCCAGCCCTGGGGCAGGAGTCTAAGCTGCGGGCAGGCGGCCTGGAGTCTGGTTTCACCAATGGGGTGTGACTGTGACTCAGGTCAAGGGCATGAGCTCACACACTTCACACTACACACACACACACACACACACACACACACACACACACGTGCACCTGTGAGTATGCACACACCCACCCCCTGCCAGTTTCATATTTCACAACACAGACTTTGTGACGTGTCTGGCCTGTCTCAAAGCAGAAGGAAGTAACGACTGCCAGTGGCTACAGAAGGGAACCCAGGAGTTCAAGGGTCCAAGTTAACCCTGGACTCTGGTTGGGGAAGAAGTGGCAGGGGGTGTCACTTTTCCTTGTAGAGGAAGGTTGGAGTGGACAGATGTCTTCATCCTTCCACAGTCTGCATTTCTACTCTGAGAGCCAGGCCCCACCCTGGGTAAACTGAGGCTAGAAGAGACTCTCAAATAGTCCCAAGATTCCTTCCTGCTCAGGAAGACATAGTCCCCAGATTGTGCTGTATCATTTCTGAGGTGGATCATACTGGAAGCCAGTTCACTTATACTGGTTCCCTATACCTCAGTCCAGCTAGCAGCTCAGGTTAGCCCAGCTTCTGTAAAACAGAGTCCTTAGGGATGGCTGACTCTAGACCCCATTGCCTCTACAAGCAACCTTTATCTGTCCATCTTGGGGGAAGTCAGCAAATAGCACTTTTCCCCTGGGATACTGCAGACCAGTGTAGGGGCCTGAGGCTGAGGCTGAGGCTGAGAGTATCCCAACAAGTCACTCTGAAGTCTCATGACAATCTCCAGTACCCAGGATAAACACTGCATGATAGTACCCAACCCCAGGTGTCACAGCCCAGATCTGTTCTTCTCTTTCCGTCTTTACTCCTCCTACCCCCATGCCTATCAAGCCCACAGCACAGTCCACCCCTGCTGGATCGTTCTGTTGGGTACTCCTGTAACAGGTGTGAGGGGGATACTTCTGTCAGCCAGGCCACCATATGCCGCCTGGGTGTGGGCTCCCGCCTCCTCAGCCCCACCCGGTGAACCTGGTCCTCCTAGCAGCCCCACTACCTTCCTGGACCCTACGGCCCTTACATTCAGCCGCTCAGACATCACCTGCACAGCTCTGTCCCAACGTCCTCCAGCTCCTGGGGAGACAGGCGAGCCCCAGCGGCCCGCAGCAGCTCAATGACACTCTGATGCCTGCCATGAAAAAGGGCTGATTGTCATTGTGGCCTGGATCCTGTCTCATTCAGTTCTCAGAGGGGGGGGGGGGAGGTTGGGGGGGTCAGGAAGTGCCCACCCAGACACCCACAGCCTAATCCCTGACAAGGACTGTCCCCTGACTCTTTGCCCAGGCTAGGGTGTCATCTCATTGTCCAAAGGCCTCTATTCATCCAAGGTACCTTCACAGGACGTCCCAAGTCACAAGGCACTAATCTATGGCCTAACAGCTCGAAAACTGCACACCCCAGGAGGCCTCCCTGCCTCAGTTAAGAGCAGCATTCCAGACACATTCAGTCAGTCCATTCTAGTGTGTCACACACCCGAAGTGACCTCTGTCTGCTCAGACCCTGGATAGGCTCTGGGGAAACCAAGTCAGCTGTGTCTCAACTCCACCCTTGGATATAGGATAAGGAACATGATCAGTGGGGTCTAGTTGGGCGGGAGCCATTTCCTGAGGCAATCTAGCTAAACCACACCTGGAGGGGGAGCTGCCTGCTAGGGCAGGGCTGCTGTCAGCAGGGCCAAGGTAGAGCCTCCCAAACCTGTTTTGAAAAGGAGGCTCTGCCTCAGCACCTCCAACCCAGGGTGGGGATGTCTCTGGGGAGGGACCAGGACTGGACACTACCATCTGATATTCCTGGACAACTCAAGCACCCCACTTGTCTAACACCCCAGGGTCTGCGGGCTGTGTGCTACTGTGAGAAGCCCAGAGGAAGCTGCTCTGGTAGAGATGCCTCTGCCAGGCTGCCCTCTGCCCCTGCCGCGCTACGCCGAGCTGCCTCCACACGGACTGGCAGTAGAGGTCACAGGAGAGGAAGCACCCAACTCTGCTGACACACTCTCTGCACCTAATGCTGCTCTTAGCTCCAGCGTGGGGACACCAGTCGGACCCACCATGTGACCGCAGCCTTCCTGCATGAGATCCAAGAAGCTGGCAGGCTTGAGGGCACCCACGGGGTCCTGTCTCGTTTCCCTCACAGGGTATTGGGCAATGCCCAAACACCCACAATTTCTTAGCGTTTCCAGGGCAGAGCCTGGCAGGCAGGACTGGAGAGAATGGGTTGAAGTGGATACCATTCCACATGGGGTGAGGGCCTGCTGGGGATCCTCCACACGGGTCATCTGTGCCTGTCATAGCTCCTTTGCAAACCCCTTTTCTGCCAGACCTTGGGACACACGGATGACAGAAGGTCACCAGGAACTCCTCACACTTTGTTCTCCTTTCCTAGACACTGCCAGCATCTTCTGAGGCTGCCTCCTCCATGAAGCCCTTCCAGATTGCCCCACCGTAATAGGCCTCCGTCCACCTCCTCATGCCCACTGCAGCACCCAGGCCACTGGTACCTGCCCTTCACGGCCAGCAGTAGTGGGCTCTGACCATCCTCATCGCGGGCGTCAGCATCCACACCCCTCTGCAGCAGCATGGTGACCACGCCAGCATGCCCCCTCCGTGCAGCCAGATGCAGTGGGGTTTGACCACGACAGTCCTTCAGATTTAGATCTTTGCCCTAGGATGACACCAAGGGAACACAGCCTCAAAACAGGGATAGGACAAGTCAAGTGAGCCACCCAGGGGACTGGGAAGGATGAGAGTGGGGTTCACAGGGCCACCCCCTCCCCACAACTTCCAGAAAAGCACTTGGACTAGTATGCAGGCCCATTGCCCAGTATGGCTTAGTCAGAGGGTCACTGAGACCCTGGGGAGGTATTCTGCGTGTGTGTGTGTATGTGTGTGTGTGTGCGCGCACAGTGTCCCACCTGCTAGCCTGGAGGTGCCCGTGTGTGTGAGCAGTGTCACGCCTGTTAGCCTGGCCCCTCAGTGGGAACTCACCAGCTCCACAAAGGTCTGCAGAGTGTCCAGGTCACCAGTATGAGCTGCAGCCAGGGCCAGGCCGGGCAGCAGAACATCCTTCATGGCATCGGCCTCCTGATGGGAAGGGAATGGTGACATCAGCTACTGCCATGCTTCGGGGCACTGAGTATTCATGGGATAAGAACAAGCAGAGCTGGCAATCCCCTGTCTATGTGAACCCGTCTCCCCACAAGGTGGGGTAGGAGGTCTCACCGCAGGAGGGAAGCACCAGAACAGCCCCACTGGAGGGCTCTGGCAGGAGCCCTCATGCCCTGGAAACAAAGACCAGGCGACCACCCATTTTCCTCTATCTGCTGTCTATGCCAATGACCCCTGAGATCTGTTTCATTTTCTGCCTCCACTGCAGACAGGATGAAAGTCGCAAGTCATTCCTTGAGAGAGCATGGGAAATGGTATAGGACACCCAACCCCTCCCCACACACACTGGAAGGGCCTGGGTGCACAGGTATAACAACATTCCTGGAAGTTCTACCGTCCATCCCACTGCTCAGTTGCCCAGGGGCACTCCAAGGGCCCAGGAAGCCTTCAGAGTACCACCTTGTCCAGCGTCCATGCTGGTGTCATCACAGCTTCAGGCCAGCGGGGCCCCAGAGGGACAGGAACCTCATCACGCAGACGCCCTAATGACAGGCCACGCCCACAGCCAGCATGGAGTAACTAACCAGCTGGCTCATAAGCTAACTGCAGGGGCCACTTGCTGGGCTCCCGGTCCTCGCCCCTGCGCACTCAAGTACTGAGGGCGGAGGGAAGCTCGGAGATTAGTCTGCATTCCAAGGTGCAGCTGTGTGGCCTGGGACCCGCAGCTCAGAGTCCTGCAGCTCCATCAGTCCTGACTCTTCAGCACCCAGATTAGATGTCATCCTCACCTTCCTTAAGCTCCAGTTTGAGGCCCAAGCCAGCAGGACATGCCCTGACCACAGCAGCCCCTGCTGGCCATCCTGTCTCTTATATCTCCATACAACAGACAGTCCCTTTCCTGACTCTTGCCTTGAGATCTCTCCAAATCCTCACCATTCACCCCAGACCTCTGGAAGGTCCTAGTCCTCCTCCTAGGCCGGAATGACAGTGCAAGAGATGGCAGATTCTGCCATCCTCCGAGTGTGTTCGGACCCTGCCACCCCCACACAGTTGGTACCTGGCTGCCACTCATACTGAGAAGCCACGCTACCCTGCAGCCCAGCATGCCATCCTGCAAGCCATCTCTTGTAGGCAACGTCATCTCCCCACGAAGATCCCTGGCCAGCAACTAGAACAGAAGGATACAGAGGCTGCTGGGCTTAGCCAGCACGGGACCAGGGAGTCCAGACTAGTTAGGACGACCTGGATTCCAGGGCAGGGAGTCGGGCCTGCCGCAGGTCTGACACTCCACCTTTGTGACACTTTGCAAGGGCTTAGTGTGACCCACAATCCCCACAGAAGGCTAACACTGCCTTCCCTTCCTACAAGCTCTGGGTTGTCTAAGACCTCAGCCAGGGCTTGGCAGCCTACAGGCCTGGAGCACTGTGTGTGTGAGTCCCACCTGGGAAGGGGGAAGGAGGGTAGGGTGTCAGGAGCAGTGAGGGAGGGGTACTGAACTGGTACTCTGAATAAAAGACTCCCCAAAGAAGGGTAAGGTATGGTCTGGAAGAACTGGGTCAGCACTGGACCTCTCTTCCCTTCCACTTCCAGAACACACAGATCCACCTTCTGGCCCTCTCAGAAGTCAGCAGGTGTTTGTGTGCACACAGGCGTGCTCCAGGTCCCAAGGGTACACCCACCTTCTTCCGGTCATTCAGGCTTAGCTCTGGCTGGCCCAGCACATAGGACAGTTTGGCCAGGGCAGCCTCTGATGTCATATCGAAGCCCGAGACTATGCCAGCTCCTGCCATGGCCTGTGGGAGAGACAAGCAGGCCAGAAGAGGGGATGGCTCAGGGACCCCCCCAAGCAAAGGGGAAACAGGACCCAGATGCCCCTCCTTCCCCTAGGCCATCTTTGTACCCCTACCATGCCAGATGCATAGTCGGAAGTCACACCCCCCTGAAGGCAATGGGTACAGTTGACAATGATCAGGCCTTGTTCAGCTGCTACCCGAAGCTCCTGTACTAGGTCTGGCTTGGTGGGCCCATTCCCGGAGCCGAAGGTCTCCATGACCACACCCTTCAGTGGGGGCTGGAGGAAGGTCCGGACCTGGGCAGGGAGCACAGATTTGGGGAGTTCCAGCTGGCAAGAGCAACAAAGCTTATCCCAGGCTTCCCCCATGTCTGATTTCCCTCTCAGGGTAACCTGGCTCTCTTCAGCTGTGGGGAAAGCTGAGTCTCCATATTCCCCCAACCCCCTCAGTGTTAGCCTGGAGAAGCAGGGCTCCTGACACTGAGAGACCCTCAGAATAGGCCCTGCCCAGACTCCTCTAGGCAGGACAACTACATTTAAGGACAGAAGACAGTTTTGTGTCCTACCAGCATGTCATGGAACAGGTAAGCAAGACACCACAGATATTACAAGAACAGCCAATTCAGAGAGGCTGAAGAGAGGAAGCAAGAGAGGGCCAGCAAGCACAAGAAAAGGCAGAGAGAGATGCAGCAGTGGGCAGGGTGGGGGGAGTACCAACAGGCCAGCCTGAGCCAGAAAGAAAACAGGAACAGTAGAAAGCAGAGTCCTGGGGACACACCCAGCCAGCCCCAAAGTGGTATCCTAAGGGTGGCACCAGGTATCTACACGCATCCTCACGGGGCCACACGCATCCTCATGATTCCACACGCATCCTCACCTCACGGGTCCACACGCATCCTCGCGGGTCCACATGTATCCTCACTGGTCCACACACATCTTCACAGGTCCATACGCATTCTCACCGGTCCACACACATCCTTATGGGTCCACATGCATCCTCCCAGGTCCACACGCATCCCCACGGGTCCACACGCATCCTCGAGGGTCCATAAGCTCACACTCAGCTTAGGTTAAAGCCTTGCACCTTTAAGCAGTCAAGACTTCAACCCCAGGAAGAGTAGACCCCAGCTAAGAAGGAAAGACTGCCCAAATGGATAAGCCGTGGTTCTGTGCAGACCTTGTCCTGAGCAAGGTGGGGGCAGAGGGAAGTGAGACCATTCTACCAGGAAGCTCTGGGAGGCATGAGGGCCCGGGAGCCATGGAGAACACTGCAGGGCAGAAGGTTCTAACGTTTCCCTACCAGGGAGGCGGTAATCCCAGGGTAGAGGCGCAGCAGGCCTACGTCAGGTTCCATGCTGCTGTGGACCACCAGATGGTTCTTCCCGCTGGCTTTCCGTACCAGCTCTCGGTTGACTGAGGACAGAAAAAGGTCTCCATGTGTGCAAGCTGCAGACCACGGACAGCTGAGGCCCCAGCCCTCCTCCAGTCTTTCATGTCCGCCCTCTTTCCTATCCTCCCCCAGGAATCAAATCCTTTCAGCCCCGTCTTCCTCAGGCCGGTGGGTGCCACATTCCACGGCAATCCCGTGGCCTGGGGGTGATGTCAGGAGAAAGATGGAAGGCCAAGCGGCGGGCGATACAGGTGGTGACAAGCAAGACGGAAGGGGAAGGAAGACTCCCAGATAAGCCTGACGAAGCTGAAGAAAAGTGTGTGGGGTACGGACTGGCCTGTGCCAAGGCCGGAGTGGCAGTCTGCTAGTCCCAGAGGAAGTCCAGTGGCACCCTCTGATCAGACAGTCTAGCTTGTTGCCCTCTTGCTGAGTACTGGGTACATAAAAGTATGCCCACTGGCCACAAAGTCAATTAGTTGATCTTCTCAACTGGTACCTTTAAAGAAAGCGAGCCTCCATCTTACGTTACCCCCCAATTCAGGGGTCCTAGTAGAGTCTATCAACCCGCCCACCCCCAGGCTTAGTAATGGCAGAATCCCAGGCAAAAAGAAGTTCAGGGAGGGGTAGGAATATGGGATCAGCATCTGTTGAACAGAGCTATGTCCGGGGACCTTCTAGAGGAGTAACTGTCCACAGGGTCAAAAGCCAGTGTGAGTTTATACCCACTTATCACTTGAACTTCATGAATCCTGGGCACCCAGAAGCCTCCAGCCCAACAGAGGTGGGATGTTGGTGGCTTCCCGGTACTAGATCCTCTAGTCCAGCCTAGGAAACCTGAGTCCTGGAGAGGGGAACGGCACCCTTGAGGTGCTAGGCACAGAGCCGGGACAAGACCACAGCTCCAGGTACCTCCTCCAAGACTGCCCACCCTTGCTGTCCTCCTGACCTTATACCGTGGGAGGGGGTCATGAACTCGGGAGGTCTGCAGACAGAGCAGCCACGTGTGATAATCAACCTGACAATATTATGGACGCACACGGAAGGGTGAGGGCTGGGGGCGGGGCGAGAGAGGGAGCAGGGCCCTCAAGCAGCCGAACTGTACGTCCGACTGGCTACAGCATCCATCAGCTGACACAATGGTAGTGTGAGGGGCCCTTTAATTTAAGGACCTGCATCTCAGCTGGGCAGACAGATAAGGCTGGATGGTGCGGGGTTGCTGCCATCAGAAGAGTTATGGCTGGCGAGGGGGTGGGGGTACACAGAGACAAAGGACCACTCCATGGCCAGCCATCCTCCTGATGAGCCAGGAAGTCTCTCCTTAGAATCTTTAAGTCTCCCCCGGCCCCTCCCCGCCACACACACACAAGGACTCTGGGGACATAAAGGGAAAGGCAGCAGTGACTAGGCCAGGCTGTCACCTTGGTCCTTTAACAGGCCCTGCTGTGTCCCAGGTTGAGAGATCAGTCTCACTTGGTAGTCTAATCTGCTCTTAGCCTTAAAGTCTGAGGTGGCCCTGCTGGTTCTGGGAGGCAGGTAGCTCCTAAGGACAGCGCTGGGCGCTGAGTTCCACATGTCTGTGTGTCAAAGGTATGGAGTAAGACCCCAAGGTAGTGGATAAGATGACCGGGGGTGCCTTAGCAGTGGGGTGACTCCTCCCTCTGTTCCTCTGCTCTGGAGGCTGGGAGGCTTCCCTGCAAAGGCAGAGTGGAAGGAGAGAACTAGCGAGGAGGACAAGGGGGAGATGGCGGAGGTACACAAGGATGAACAGAGCCAGCAAGGCCTAGCTGCCCCCAGGTACCGTATCCCTGCGCCGGTACGGAGCAGGCTGCGCAGGTATGGCCTAGATCCTCCCTGTCTATCACCAAGGATGGTACCCTGGACCCCTCACCTCCCAGAGGGTAAATGAAGAGTTGGTGGCAGCCCTCGGGAGGCCTACATCACGTGGTATCATCAGGGCTCTGTCCTATGGAGAGCTGGCAAGAGGCAGGCACATGTATGCAGGAACCCCATACCCCACGCCCCACAGGCCCTAGCAGACACACCCTAAGCAGAACCCAAGATTTCTCCATACGAGATGTCAGAACCGGCTGGGCAGCCTGCCGAGAGCAAGAAGGCGAGGTGCAGGTTCCCACACACCCACACAGCACGATGGAGGATCAGGATATTGGGCTGGGACTGGGGGTGAGCCTCAGCTCTGGGCCAGAGAAGCTATACTGGGCTGGGCTAGGCTGGGCTGGGCTTGGAGGCCAGGCTTTTAGAATCAGGGTGAAGGCCTATCTGCCTACAGGAAAATCTCCAACCCTGAGCCCAGATAAGGAATGACTCAGGCTTAAGAGAGCTGAGCTACAGAGCCCTGTCCCCTCCCTGGGCCACTAGTGCCACCACCCAGCATGGGCTAATAGCTAGACAATCATAAGGCACCATCTAATGCAGGCTCTTCAAAGGCTTCGACAGGTCCAGGCCCCCAGATAACAAGTGGATCTCTGCCACTCCAGAGACTTGAGGTTTTCCCTGTCTAGCTAGGGGAGAAGGGAAGGCTTTTAGGAAGTAGCCCTGCCATCTCTGGAGGTTCTCCTGAACCTGGAACAGCTTCTGATGCCTCGGAAGAATACCAAGAACCTGCAGGTCCCAGCAATGCCGTGTTCCACCCACAGGACTTGCTGTGCCCAGGCAGACACATAGTGTGGGTGAGGGCTGCCTCCACCCTCCCAGAGGGATGGGATGCTGCCAATCACCCTGTCAGACAAGAAGAGCTGCTTTGGCTCTAGAGTAGCAGCCTGACCTGAGCATGCGCACCAAAGCCTAGTCCTACTAGGTGCAGGAACCAGAGCCGGAGCCTGCATCTCAGTTATAGGCAGGTCTGGGGCTGTGTTCAAGAACCTGGGACCAGTGGGCAGTGGGGGCACTTGCCCCAGGATCAGATGGCTGTTCAAGGCTCCTCTATACCTGGTTAGGACAGGCCAGGGAAGGATCAGGAGACAGTTGCCCTGAGTTAAGAGAGACAGAGGCCCTTAGGAGAATATATAACCAAGATGGAAAGCTACGGGTCATTAGAGTCAAGGTCTGACTGACATTGGAGTCTACTCTGCACTTGGGGTAAGGTGTGTCTAATCCCCTATGGAAGCTTCAGGACCAGGGCCCTCTGGGACTCCTAAGAGCCATGTTAGACCACAAAAGGCTAGGTTCTAAGAAGACCCGATGTGTATGGTAGAGCCATAGGCTGTCACCGAGAGGAACTTTTCAGCTGATGGTTGTGTGAGTCAGACTCCCAAGTGCTGAGCCTGAGCTCACCATGGAGGTCTCCCACCTAGGCACAGCCCCCAGGACCCCCGTTCTCCTCGCTGAGCTCTCAGACCCCCTTACTTGTTACATCTGCGCCCACAGTGGCTAGAGGGGGCAGGTTAGGGGAGCAGAAGGCTGCAAACCTCCGAGCGTCCACCTTGGTTGTCCGATTGCCCCGAAAGAGCTGATTCTGGAAGAATAGGCAGACCTGTGGAGGGCAAGACAGCAAGCAGCTCAGAGCCTGCCGGCCCCCTGACATCCAACAGCTCTCCCAAGCCCACACAGCATCCACATACTAAGCCTAGAAGGTAACCAGCAGCCAGGTTCCCTCCCAGCCTGCCAATACCACCAAGTGAAGACCCAAGTCCCCTGGGGCCCAGGAAGCCTGGCACTGAACACACAGAGGGCTGCAGGAAGCGCTGGCTGGCTGTTCGGCCAGCACCTCTCCACTGGTGCTTGTATTACTGGTATGAGGAGCCAGGGACTCCAGAGACTCCTCTAAGGTGAATGAGGTTGGGGGACCACCCTTGACCTGCTTGTTTCTCTTTTGTAATTCCTAACCCTGACCTCACCAATCTCCAGTGAATAGCTAAAGACAATGCAACTCCTCGCCTGGCCTGTGAGGGGCAGGCCTGTGTCGTCTTCCTGTTCTGCCAGGCGAGACAAAGAGCCCATGAGGAAGGACACAAAAGACTCCAAGCCTAAGGTGGATACACAACACAGTGTAGAATATCTACGACATAAAACCTGGCTGCTGACAGGGGTGTCAGCGTGGAGGGGGCGGGGCCTTCCTTCCTCGGCTTTGTCAACTCCAGGTTTTTCACAGTTGTATTATTTGGGAGGGTAGGGACAGATGATGTTCCAACCTCTGGCCCGCGGGTCCCATGTGTGCCATAACCACAACCCTGGCATTCACTCCCCACCCTCCACCCAGACCACACATGCAGCCAGGCCAGATACCTCAGGGATGACGTACTGGCCAGCCATGAGCAGAGCCCCTAGCAGGTTCTCACGGCCGTCGCTCCACAGTGCATGGATAGGTACCTGGAGACAGGGCAGAGAGGCGGCTGCTGTCGCCTGGGGAGTCACAACATACCCAGATCGCTGCTCTAGGCAAACCGCTCAGGCCCAGCTGGGCTGAGGAGTCGAGGAAGGCCTGGGCTTGAGGAGTAGGGTCTGGAGATACTTAGCCCACTCCCAAGGCTGCCAACCACAGGCAAAGTCTGCACTGGGCTCCTTGACCTATCCACTTGGTTGCCACAGAAGTAAAGTAACCAGTAGACACCCACGTGGAGGATGGTCCCCCAGGTTATGTTCAAAGGGAGGGACCCAAATGCTGGCTTCCTTGGCCTCTAGCCCATGGGGGATTCTGAAGGGTTTGGGTAGGGTTGCCTCCAATGGTCACCCATAGCTACAGAAAGCCCTTTACTCAAATAGAGTTGTTTACTATGGCATTCCATTGGCTTTGGTTTGGGTGAAGGTGTACTAGGTTAGGGCCAGAGGAAGTGATGTCATATGTAAGAGTTGAGAGGGATAGCACCAGAAAGAAGAGGAACAAGAGCGGGGTGGAGGAGCCTCCTGAGGAGCTGCTCTGTGTATCTACCATGCTAAGTCTTGGGTGGTGGCACAGACATGAAGTCCAGCAAAAAGAAGAGGGAGAAATCTCTACATAGGAGAGCTGTAAGCGGGTAGGCTCTGAGTATTCTTGAGACATTAATGGGTAAGACCTCCAGGAGCCCGTGGGCCCCTCGCTTCAGGAATTGGTAGGAGCTAGCTCATCCAGACAGTTCAGCAAGAGTGCAGTGGGTAGGCAGGGCCAACTCCTAAAGTGTCTACACACACTAACTGGTAGTACGCAGCAGGGATGGTGCCAGGGACAGTTGCTGAGGAGGAAGCACAGGGCTGGCCACGGCCTGGCTCTGTGTTCTCCAGAGGTCTCTGACTCTGGGGACGCGTTACCTGGGCACCCGTGAGGATGACCGGTTTCTGCAGGTTTTCCAGCATGAAAGAGAGCGCTGAGGCGGCAAAAGCCATGGTGTCCGTGCCATGGATGACCACAAAGCCCTGGTACTGTGTGTAGTGTCTCTGTTGGAAGGAATGAGCTCAGGACAGGACAGGTCTATCCACCACAGGCCTTTTCCTGAGGACATGGCGGCAAGCAGGTGTCTCCTCACAGGCCATGAGAAAGAGTAAAAGCCTGGGATGTTGGCTGAGGGCTGGGTGTGGCACTCTTTCATTCCCCCCACCCCCACAGGCCATCTCTGGAGTCTCTGCCCTGGGGTCCTACTCTGTAGCTTGCTTCAAAAAATGTGAGGATGAGGGCCCCAGGGACTCTAGCTCCCCAGAGTTCCATCTGGCGCCTCCCATGAAGGATACTCTGTCCATGATGGATACTCTCTAACCATCGCTTCCGGGTGACATGCTGGCCAAAGCTGTGGCTGCCAAGACAACAGTTCTAAGGGCTAAGAGGTTCCATGAAAGACCAGAGGAGCTAGGCAGTCTCACGGAGCAGTGTGCCCTCTGCTGGCCATGTGCGGTACAGCTGCTTTGCTTCCCAGCTATGAAGGGCACCAGGCTCCATGCCCAGAACACCTTCATGAGCTTGAGGTGTAGCTTACCCTGCTTCATGACAGAGTACCACCAACCAGACCTAGCCTGGAGACTAATCAGGCTAGTCTGTCAGTCACAAGTGAGGAAGACTTCCCTGGGAAATGCGGAGCCCAGATTACCCTATTCAAGACAGCTGGGGCTTCTTAAGGGAGGCAAGTATAGCTATGGCTGCACCTGAGAGCGGGATCATGGGAGAAAAGCTGAAGAGAGGGTTAGCTCCAGGGTAAAGCAGCTGCCCTCGATGCTACAACTACCAGTACAAGAGACTGTGATGGAGGATTTGGTGCCAAATCCACTGAGAAGCAACTCTAAGGTTGGGATGGGGGTAGGCGGGTCAGATCCACAAAGCTACTCAGCTTCCACATATCCCACCACAGTGCTGACTGGAACAGGTCAACTGTATGAGCAACCAGCCTCTACTCGTATGACAGAAAGAGCATCAGACTGTGCAGTGCGTGGCCCAGGACCCAGCCCTTTCCCGGGGCTGCCATGTAAGTTACTGCCACGTCTCACGTGGACACAAACTCTATCACGAGCCCATAGTTACTCAGTTGCCCATAGTTCCCTCATAGTTGCCCAGTGTTCCGCAGGAGGCCTGCCCTGCCCGCCAGTCCTGCCCACATTTAGCCCCTCCCACACCATAACTTCCCCCAGGATCTACCTGATGTCCATACCCACCTTCCAGCCCAACCCAGCTTTCTGGACCCACCCACTCCCCATAGCCCCGCCCATGGCCCTACCAGTCCCACACTCTGCCCTGCCCACGCTCCCACCCTCTACCTCTATGGTTTGGGCAATCTGAACCCACTCAGTGATGGTCATGTCACTGGAGTCGAAGAGTGGCTGGCACTCCAGCACCGTGTAGATGATCCTCTGGTCAGGACTGGCCGGGCTGCAGGAGGCAGAACCTGTCTCCCATTCTGCCTTTCTCCTGATCCAAAGCCCCACCCCCAAAGCGGTCTCCAACTGGGGTGTGGGGCGGGGCTGTGGCATCCTGGGAGGGGCTGGGGTGTGGCATCCTGGAGGGGCTGGGGTGGGCGGGGCTGTGGCAACCTGGGAGGGGCTTCGGCATCCTGGGAGGGGCTAGGGTGTAGGAGGGGCTGTGGCTCTCTGGGAGGGGCTGGGGTGTAGGCGGGGCTGTGGCTCTCTGGGAGGGACTGGGGTGTAGGCGGGGCTGTGGCATCCTGGGAGGGGTTGGGGTGTAGGCAGGGCTGTGGCTCTCTGGGAGGTGGTGTGTGGAAGGGGCTGTGCCCCGCAGGGGCTCAGTGTGGAAGGGGGCTGTGTGATTACTGTAAATGGGCTCCCCCCTCGCTAGCCTCACATCACGAGTCCGAGCCCAGCCTCCCTTCCACCTCAAGTTCCATGGACAGACTGCATCTCCAAGAGGTAGACAAGCTAACCTTAAGCAGTGTCCCCACACTAGCTCAGAGAGAGGTCATGTGGAGCAGAAATCCACCTCACTCGGCTATGAAGGGTATAAGGTAGCTAGGGCAGTGAGGATACACAAGATAACCAGGAGAGGCCACCTGGTCAGCCCAGCCTCTTCTGATAGGGACAGGGGCATCCTTATCATGCTTGCTGGGAGCTTCCTTTACTCCCACCCTTTCAAGCTCAGAGCTTACAGCGAGCAGAGGAGGAAGGTCAGACAAGCAGAGTACCAGGCACACCATGGTGCACATGTCCTCCTCTGGTACAAGGCAAAGGCCAAAAGTCCATGATCTCAAGGTGTCAGAGATGCTTGTGCAAATGGCTCACACGGAGGTCCTGACAGGACCTGCCCACCCTTTCAACCCTAGGATAGCTGCACATCATCCCTGCCACGGGGCCTGGAAGAATATTCACTCACGGCAGCACCAGCGTGTCCTCAGGCAGGCTGTGGGCCCGGGCATACTCCTCGTCGTGGAACATATAAAGTGTCCTCAGGACGGCAGCCAGGCCTCTTCCAGGTACCAACACTGTGGGCAGAGTCCAAGTGGAGTGTGGGCTCCAGATCAGGGCCATAGCAAACACAATCAAACACCCTTCCCTCCTCCTGGGTGTCAGGCTCTGGACTAGGGCAGGGCCCAGGCTTCAGCTGGACCAGAGAAGACTCTCATGGATGTCACAGGCTGGGAGGGCTGGGCCACAGCTGCCCCTAACTTAGGTAGCATTTCATCTGGAAGCTTTGGCATCCTCCCCTGGAGCTGACTCCTCAGATTTCTAATCTTAAACCCAGACGATCCCAGAAGCTCCAAGCACCAATGTCTACCCTGTCCTGCCTCTGCTTGTATCATATGTGTCTGTCCAACCCACCAAGAGGGATCCGTGGGGCCGGGTCCTCTCCAGGCTTTGACCCAATGGCCAATCCTACCCCCACCCATCCATGTGCACTGTCTACCCCACTCCCATTTCTCATCTATTGGGTACTTGAAGGTCCAGCTTGAAGCAGTTCCTCTAGGAAGGCATCTCTGATGCCAAGGTCATAATGCCCTTCTATAAGCTCCCAGAGAGTATGGACTGTGTACAGCTTCTCCAAGGTCCAGTTCAGGCACCCTATCCTCGTCCCCAAACAAGGCCCAGTACACAAGAACCCCAACCCACCCTGTAGCATTAGTATCTGAGGACCCTGGATCTGTCTGGCAGAGGCTCCCAGAAAACAAGAGTGAAGTTCCAGCCGTCGATCTTTGCTGCCCTCTGCTGGCTCTGTGACCTTGGGCCGATTGGGTAACCTCAGACACAGTCGCTGTACCAATCAATCCCCATGGTGAGAGCATGCCTGGGCCCTGAGCACAGCAGTAGAGGCTCATGAGACCTCAGGAGGAGGCGGAGGTGTGTCAGTTGGGGGTGTCACCTGGTCACAGGACAGCCTCTGCTGGATGGATTCTTTTCTGTCCTTCAACAGACTGGTCCTTTCTCAGCACTGGACGGGCACACTGTGCCCGCTACCAAGCCCTGACTACAGGAATCAGCCTCACTTGCTGCAGGCCAAGGGACCTTTATCCATTGGACTCGTTCTCAAGTATTATCCCATGCCCCCTCTCCAATACCTGGCCCCTCCTCCAGTCACAGATCCAGAGTTTCTTTGACGTGAGACCCTGTGCTTATTGTGGGGACACAGACACCTCTAGGGACCATGAGGAGGAGCCCTATCTCTGGCCTAGCAGGCTTTCCTTCCCCACTCCATACCACGCCTGAACCAAGCTGCCAGTAACTCACCCCAGAAGGGAGGGCTCAGCCCTCGGCATCCCCTTAAGCAGCCTGCAGACCTGCTGGCCCCAGAGGAGTACCAGCCTCAACTAAATTTGATGCCACCTCCCTCACCCTGATGCCAATAGCCATGGAAGCATCCACCCTACCACCTGACCAGGGGCCTACCTTCTCCAAGGATGCTCTTGGCTGCATCCTATTTCTTGGGCTGACTATAAGGACACTTGAGCACTCCAGCCAAGCCCAGGTCCCCTGATGCCCCCCCCCCATAGTAACATCTCTCCCATCTCCCCTGCTCTGATATCCTCCGACTCCTCTGCTGCTGCTTGCTGGCCCTTCACTGCTACAGGGTAGCTCAGACTCCTGAGAACATGGTCACAAACACAGATCCGATGTACCTCTATGCCCCGCCCCCAGGTGCAGGTCAGGAGCCTGCAGAATCTGCAGCTGACAAAGCTGTTCCCCACCACTGCCATGCCTCCAGCTTCACTAACCACACCCTGATCTCCAACACACCCCTGGCCTGGTATAGAGTCCCTAAAACTGTCTGCTGTCACTGTCACTGATGGAAATGTTTGGTGGACTGGGCTCAGAAAATAGAGGAACCCTGTATGTTTAGTCAGCCCCATGGGCCTCCAGAGACACCCTAGGTGTGACCAGGACATCAGCCTGCCTCCATATTTAGGAGCTATCCGACATCCTTGTCTAAGAACCTGCAGCATTTGGCTTTTCTGAGAAAGTTTTTGGAGGTATGATTGTGTAAAGTACCCCGGGAGGGAGAGAAGAGGCTGGGTTTTCACCTGTGTGTCCTTGTAAGAAAAGGCAGGCAGGGGAGTGACACACATCAGAGGCCATATGGCAGTGCAGCACACAGAACAGAGGTGCGGTCTCATTACAGACAGGAGGAATGTGGCCTCAAACCAAGGACCCTGGCAGCCACCAGAAGGTGGAAGAGGCAGGAAGACCGCTTGGCTGTTAAGGCCTTGAGACTTTAAACTTTGCCTCCAGAAAGAGGGACGGGTCCTGAGGCTTTCAACGCTGAATGGCTGGCAACCCCAGGACACTGAGACTTCCACGCTCATGTGAGTTCCCTTGACAGCAGATGGCACTGGAGCATCTATAGATACTCCAGATGGCAGTTCACCTCCAGGGAAGGGGATGTGGGGGGTGTACTTAGGCGAGGGACCTGTGGACATGTTTGCATCAGGCAAGATCTTCTGTCTGCAGCTGGACTATTAACTTTGACCATGAGTAATGGTTCCTGGAGTAACCATGGGCTGGACTGAGGGGGTACAGACCCTGGGAGCCCCATCTTAAAGGGGGGGCATCTGAGAAGCATTAAAACCAGCCAAGAGAAACCTAAACTCTCCTATGCTTTTCTTCCTGGAAAGAAACTATAAAACTTGTTATCACATGACAAGATCCTAGAGAAAAAAATAAAAAAGTGTCACAGAAACAGCCAAGGAAGACAGGGCCTGAGCTGCCAGGTATGACCAGTTTTCTGGATTCCATTTAAATTAGAACTTTTTGTGATTTCTTTTTCTTTCTTTGTTTTTTGTTTTTTGTTTTTCGAGACAGGGTTTCTCTGTGTAGCCCTGGCTGTCCTGGAATTCACTCTGTAGACCAGGCTGGCCTTGAACTCAGAAATCTGCCTGCCTCTGCCTCCCAAGTGCTGGGATTAAAGGCATGTGCCATCACTGCCCAGTGATTTTTTTCAGTATTCTAATACAGGCCTTCATTCCCGATTGATTCTGATTTTATAAGCTGCATCCTTTTCCCATGGAGGAGATCCCCCCCCCAAAAGCGTATAATCCTGGGGAGCTGAGCCCCATCCTTCCTGGGAACTCCTGCTGGCCTGGCAGTGGTCACACTGGGCATCATCCCACCTCACTAGACTAGGGCTGGCGCCAACTGTGACCACGGGGCAGGGAGCAGCCTTGGCTACCCTGTGCAGAAGCTTAGCTCCCCTGTGGGAGCTGTAAGGAACGACTCCCATGGGCAGCAGGCAAGAGGTACCCTAGTTAACACAGGAAGCCCTTGGGTGCTCAGGTGTCACTGAAACAAGCCAGGGACCAGGCTTGGGGTCACTGAACACATGTTGTTTTTTTTGACTTGTGACATTGCATTAAACCCTGAAAGAGGTGTTGAAGAGGTGAGGTATGCCGTCACCTCTGTCCTCTCCTGCCTTGGCAGGGTTCGTCACACAGTGTTAGGCACTGTTTACCAGCAGGTACACGAGCTGTTTCAACAGCGACAATCTAAACAGCTTCTCTGTAGCGGAAGCCACCACTCCCACTCACAAGGGGCCAGGACCCACATAAAGCAGGGCCAAGCTGGTTAATCATTCATGCCCATGGGGCCGTCCAGGGCAGGCAGAGCCTACAGCCCACAGTTCAGCAACCCCACAGCAGGGCACACAGGGCTGCAACATGCCTGAGCCCCAGGTCCCACAGCAGGGCACACAGGGCTGCAACATGCCTGAGCCCCAGGTTCCAGGCTTAGGCATTACCCAATTTGTCTTGCTTTGGGTTCTGCCTCATTTCCAGAAACACTTTCCCTTTATAGCAAGCCTAGGCGCCCACTCACATCTATCTGAAGAAAGAGTGGCTTCAGCCACCCATCAGGAAAGCCCAAGGCTCTAAGACTTAGCACTGGCCACTCATTCATGTGTGTAGATCCCCCTCAGGGTCATCAAAGACCAGATCTCTTTTCTAGTTCTCCCTTGTCCCTTGAAAACTATGCCCAAGGCTCTTTAAAGTTGCTCTAAAGAGGGAAAAGGGTCAGTAGCTACAGGCCATTGGGTCCAGTGAAGGCTATGGGGGTCCTATCAAGGCCTGGAATGGGTTCTGGAAACAGCTGGTCCAGGGAACAGAGCCCTCCACTTAGAACCATACTGTCCTGGCTGCTGCCTGTCCTTTACCAGGGGTCTGAAGCCTGTCATCACTCTGAGCTCCTTGAGTGGAGTGTCTGCCACCCTGAGGAAGGGACTTCTAAACCAGGGCAGCTGCCTGTGGGCTCCGTCTCTTTCCAGGGCTTGCATATCCCAGAGCAGGGAGCAGGTTCCTAAGGGTCCTAGAAGGTCTTTACCTTCTGAAAACCCATACCTTACTGATTTGCAGCTTCAAAGTATGTGTTCCACTTTTCTGGTCCATCATGCTCTTCTGCCCTCTTAAGAGAACCATAGCGCACGCACGCACGCACGCACACACACACACACACATCCAAGGGGCATGGGACACAATGTCACCATAGGTGGGTCTGTGCTCAGAGTCCACTGGTCCCTTAGCTTGGATCATACCAGTTAGGTTCAACAGGTCTGAAGTCACCCATGTGTCAAGTCGAGAGGGGAAGCGTCAAGAGAAGGGGCAAGGTCCCGGTGCATAAGGCCAGCCCCTGTTCTAGGCAGTTCCGAAGCCTCCTCTCTAAGCTGTGTGCTGAGTTCCTCTCTCCTTCCCTCACACTGCAAGTCCTGGTCTGGCCACACTTCCTCCTCAGCCAGCCAGCCGCTCCTACCAGGGGCCTATGTTCTCCAAGGAGCCCCCTGAGAGTGGCCCCAACACAACCCAACACCATACACTGTGCCTACTGGCATAACTGACCCTCTAGAATTCAGCTCCTTAATGGCTGTCATTTGTCCATCACTCCAGTGAAGGCCAAGCAAATTGGCCATGGCCTCACCTGCTAGTGGGGTGTCCTCAAGGGCATTCACCAGGGGATCTCAACCAGAGGCAGCAGAATGTATAAGAGGACAGTCTTCCAAGACCCTGATCCTGGTACCCAAGCTCCTTGAGCACCCAGCTTGGCCCCTAGGAAAGCTAAAGTGTCTCTGCATGGAGAGAACAGGCAAAATAGCTCTGCCTGAGGCTGTGCTAGTCCTCGAAAAAGGAAGCTGCCTCACCCTAAGGGCTTACACAGGCCAGAGGGTGTGGAATGCTCCAGCATCCTTCCCAGAGCCCCAGGCATAGAACAGAGCAGTCTTCCGAGGTCCCTCCGAGGTCCCGGCGTCTGGTGGCTTCGGGGATACTTCAGGTCAGGAAGAGTTGCCATGCCCCTCACCCCTTCTATGATCTGGGCTCTAGATTCCCAGCCACCAGAGCTCCCTACTGGAGGAGGAAGGGTCCTGTCTCCCCTTGCCGCCAGAGACAGCCCCAGAGTTCCCAGTGCCCCAGCCCTGAGGCTTTTCTGCTTAGGGCTCTGGGACACAGACTCACCTCCGCCTTCGCTCCGCATGCCGATGGTACCTCCAGTGTAGATGGCCAGCAGCCGCCGCTCAGGTCCGGTAGCACGCGCCATGACTGGGACAGTGGACTCCTCAGTGAGGACAGAGCCAAAGGGAAAGCAAGACCGGGAAGCGGAGGGGCATGCAGGGTGGGGCTTACTGGAACTCTGGGGCTCCTCTGGTTGGTGGGAACTGAAGATCCGAGGTAGGCTGGACCTGGGGTGGAGGAGGAGTCGCCTTCAAAGTAGAGAGCGGGACACTTGTAAAGGGCAGGAAGGATGTCTGCTTGGGATGGGCTGAGATCGTAGGGGGTGGGGCCTCAAAATGGGGCGGGGTTTTTCTGGGTTTGCTTCACCTAACTCAGAGGCCAGGGACTTCCAGAATGCCCAGTCAGGGCCACTCTCCAGTCCTGGTCTAGACCCTCTCCACAAACTCCTTGAGTTTCTACGGGTCAGGACTCACTTGTGATCTAGAGGCACCAGGAGGGCAGGAAACTCCAGGAGCAGGCTCCTAAGAGCTGGGTGACCCGGTTGCAGAGATAGCACACCTACTGTGCTCCTGAACGTGGAGCAGACCCAGCCCTTCAGAGGGAACTTAGTACCACCCCCAGGAATGTTCCCTCCCGACTGCTTTAGGCAAAGGTGGGGCTGTCTCGATGGGATGGTCCCTCCCTGCCTTGATTATTTGTTGGGAGCTCAGAGGTTCAGAGGTTGGGAGATCGGATCTCAGTGGTACAGGTTCAGATCCTTCTGGAACCTCTTTTGGGGACACATGGTAAGTTCACATAACGTTCACACCAGTGGGGCAGGAGCACTCACAGGATGGGGTCACTGGCTCAGGAGGGAGACCAGGGGACACTCTAGAGCCCTACTGTGATCAGCCTGCAGAGTGGTTAAGCTGGTTTGTCCTAACCTGACCTCTGCTATGAGAGGCAAGGGTCCCCGGGTGGTGGTGGCACACACCTTTAATCCCAGCACTTGGGAGGCAGAGGCAGGTAGATTTCTGAGTTCGAGGCCAGCCTGGTCTACAGAGTGAGTTCCAGGACAGCCAGAGTTATGCAGAGAAACCCTGTCTGGAAAAACAAAACAAAAACAAAAAGAGAGGGTGGGGCAAGGATAAGTAGAGGATCTACTAGGGTGGGCATCAGGGAGTGAGGGCTGGTCTCGGGATGTCACTGTAAGTAGGTGGAGGACCATGGTGTTGAGAGGGAAGTGAGTGAGCAGTGAGTGTATTGGGAATGTGTATCTTGCTGAAGGCAAACACCAGCTCTCTTGTCAAGCAGTTTTCCACACTGTGAAGACAGACTAAAGAACATCAATTTATAAGGAAGAAGGACGATTAGCCAGCATGGTGGTGCACACTTGTAACCCCAGCAGTCAGAAAGCTGAGGAAGGAAGACCGAGCCAGGCTACATAAATAAGATCCTGTCTCAACAAACCAAACTGGCATGTGCATGCTTTTAATCTTTAAACTGGGGGTGGGGTAGGGAGCAGAGGCAGGCTGGTCTCTGTGAGTTCAAGGTCAGCCTGTTGTGTAGAGGAATTTTAATCCAGCAAGGCTGCTCTGTCAAGGGATCACATCCAAAGACCTAGGTCTGTGTGATTTGGCTAGAATATAGACATGCCTTTAATCCCAGGAGACAGAGGCAAGTAAATCTCTGAGTTCAAGGCTGGCCTGGGTAGTATAGAGCAATTTTTTTTTAAAAAGATGTATTTATTTATTTATTATATGTAAGTATACTGTAGCTGTCTTCAGACACACCAGAAGAGAGCATCAGATTTTATTACAGATGGTTGTGAGCCACCATGTGGTTGCTGGGATTTGAACTCAGGACCTCTGGAAGAGCAGTCAGTGCTCTTAACCACTGAGCCATCTCTCCAGCCCATATAGAGCAATTTTTAGGTAAAGAAAAACTTAGGACCTGACATGGTGGTAGGCGCCTTTAATCCCAGCACTCAGGAGACAGAGGCATTTGAATCTCTGAGTTCTAGTCAATTCTGCTCAGTCAGTTGCCTTCAGTGCAGTGGAGTTGAGTTCGTGAGTCCATGCAGTTCAATGCAGGTGAAGCCAGAGAATAAGAAGGAGCCAGAAGATTAGAACAGATTGCCAGAGTTAGTTTGAGGTCAAGCAATTCAGCGAGAAGTCCAGAGAAGCCAGTTTGAATCAGCTTGGAGAGGAGTTGACCAGCCAGCCAGAGTCCAGAAAGAACTAGGCAGGGTGAGCATATTCAGCAGTAAGCCTCTGAGATGACCATTATATCAGGCAAATAAAGGATACGTTTACACTGTCGTACATATGTAGTGAGTTTGAAGACAGCCCAAGCTACAGAGAACTGGGTGGGATGGCCTGGTGACCTGAGTGTGGTCCCTGAAAACCACATCGAAGTGAAAGCAGATGTGGTGGTCCTAACATCGCTACACTGAGACTAGAGATGGAGACAGAATAATCATCCGGAAGCTAGAAGGCCAGATATCCCCGAATATGTGGCATGGTGGAAACAAGAGAGGCCCTGCCTCACGAGAATGGAAGGAAGAGCCAAACCCTGAGAGCTGTGCTCTGACTTCCACACTGCGGTTAGTGTAAGCGTGCACATATGCCTCAGAACCCCCATACTGCGGTGAGCGTGCACACACAGCCTCAGAACCCCCACACTGTGTGCATGAGTGTGCACACACAACCTCAGAATCCTCACACTGTGTGCATGTGAGCATGCACACAGCAGTGTGAGTGTGCACACACAGCCTCAGAACCCTCACACTTTGGTGAGTGTGAGCATGGACACACAGCCTCATAATAATAAATGAGTGATGATTAATCCCAGCACTTGGGAGGCAGAGGCAGGCGGATTTCTGAGTTTGAGGCCAGCCTGGTCTACAGAGTGAGTTCCAGGACAGCCAGGGCTACACAGAGAAACCCTGTCTCTAAAAACAAAACAAAACATAACAAAGGTAAAAAAAAAGAGAGAGAAAGAGAGAGAGAGAGAGGAATTTAAAGTTTTAATGAGCATAGTGGTGCCTTTAATTCCAGAACATGGGAGGCTGAGGCAGACAGATCTCTGAGTTCAAAGCCAGCCTGGTCTACAGATTGAGTTCCAGGACAGCCAGAACTTCACACTAAGACCCTGTCTCAAACAAAACAAAACAACCAAAAGAAAAAAAAAATTTTTTTTTTCGAGACAGGGTTTCTCTGCATAGCTCTGGCTGTTCTGGAACTCACTCTGTAGACCAGGCTGGCCTCGAACTCAGAAATCTTCCTGCCTCTGCCTCTCAAGTGCTGGGATTAAAGGCGTGCGCCACCACTGCCCGGCTAAGAAAAAAATCTTAATGAAAGAAAAACACAGGAAGAAATGTTTTCTTTGACTCACGGTTTCATAAGCTTGGTCTGCGGTTGACTAGGGCTCCCTTGTTTTGGGCCTGTGTCAAAGCAGACCACCATGGTGTGAATGCCTGGTGGCAGGTCTGTTTACCTCTGAATAAAAGACATAGAAGGGGTCAGGGACCCAATATTCCTCTCAAGGACACACCCAGAATGATTTAAGATCCTCCCTGTTGGCTCTACCCACTAAAGATTCCCCCGACCTCCCGACAGTTCCACAGGTAACAGCTAAGCTATGAACACTCCTTTGGGAGACACTACAACCCAAACACTGTAGCTCCCAGGCCTCTGGGCCAGGCAACCTCTAGACAAGCTGGTTGCCTAGTTGAGAAAGCTTAGGCACTTAATGATGCTATGTTAGTTAGTTCGCTGTCACTGTGAGAAACACTCAAGAAAACCACCTTTTGGCTCACACTCTCCAAGGTTTCAGCCCACGCTCAGCACACTGGTACTTTTAGGCCTGTGGTAAGTAAGGCCCAACACCACAACAGGGAACGTGGTGGGTGCAAAGCCGCTCTAATCCTGCTATCCCAGAAGAGGGGAGGCATGGGGGGCACTGGGGCAGAGCAAAACCACGTGTGTTTTATTTTTTGTTTTCTTGCGGTACTAGCACGGAGCATGTATATACATATTAAATAAGCACTGTATCACGGAGTCACCCCTTCATCCCCACTCTTCTCCCAAACCCATCCAGCTGTGAACCCAGAAATAGGGTCACTTATTCTCAAGGGATTCTTAGGATCCAGTTACCTCTCAAATGCTCACCTCCGAGGACTTGCATTGGAGCCTCAGCCCTCCGCCCTGACTGCTACCACCCCGCTCTGTCCCTGCCCACTTTGGTTTTACACTCACTTCTCCAGAGCACAGTGTTCAAACTGCAGCCCCTGACTCAGCAGCACGACCTGGAGCTTGTGGGAATGATGGGAACCCGGGCCTCACGCTGGGCCTCTTGACTCAGGGACTGATGGGAACCAGCAACCCACATTGTGACATGCCCTCTAGAAGCCGCTGACACAAAACAAGATGAAAAGCCACTATTCTAGCCCAGGGGATAGCAGACGATGGCCCACAGGGAAAAGCTGTCACCCTTGCTTTGAACAGAAGACAGCTTTCCTAGGATGGCCAGGCAAGCCAGGTCCCAGGAACACAGCTGGCCTCCCATTAGTGAAACAGCTGTAGAAGACCTGTCCCCAACTGGATTCTTGTCCCACCCTTCTCCAAGAATGCAGATAGAGATTACAAATGGGAGATTATTGTCAGTTGGGATAAACCCTAAAGGGATCAAACAGACTGCTATCCTGGGTTAGAACGAAGCTGCTTTGAGCTCCTGCTGGCTGTGGGAATGCTAGCTGAGAGTTGATACAACCGTGAGAAGTATTGTAGCTCAAAGTTCTCTAAGGGATGCCCTGGGATGCCAACCAGGAGTCGTCCACTGCAGAGCAAATCTGCAAGCTCTGGAAAATGTCACACCTAAAGCTCTCAGCAGGCTTCTGGGCATCAACCAAGGCTCGTGGAACTCACTTGCAGGGCCGAGATCCTTACAGCTCTCCCAGACTTCGGGAGCGGCAGGTCACTGGGTGGTCTCCGTGTGTGGAGGCTGAAACAGCCACTGGAATGGATTCCTGTTCACAGCTGAAGTACAGAGCCACAGCAGAGGCCGAGGCAGGAAAAGAGTCCTCTATCTGCAGTCACTGGGCAAGTCCTGGAAAGCTGGCTCCAGGCAGAAGCCTCAGGCACCAGGGTCCTCTCTCCAGTGAGTCCTGAAGGCACTTCAATTGTCCCCTCCTCTCTGTGGAATTCTAATG